ACCAACCAGGGCCGGGGACAAACTGCAACCGAAGTACGTGCCCCTAGCGGGAACCGAACCCGGGTCTCTCCGGAACGCAGGCCGACGCTCTAACCGCTGAGCCAAACTGGCCACGGCATGTTGTCTTTTTCTTTTTTTTTTCTTTTTCTTTTTTTATCTGGGGCCCCTTGTTGTCTTTTTCTTATAAACTTAAGAGTTCTTTATATTCAGGGATATTTGTGCAATTTTACTTCTAGAAATCTACCTTAAGAGGAAAAAGCTTTTCCACATTTATACAAGGAATTATATAAAAGGATGTTCAGTAAAGCACTGTTTATAACAGGGGCAAAAGTAGAAACTAAACCTACCTCTTCCTCAGGAGGGGGATGGATAAATAAACTAGGTTTATTCACCACTGGTTATCATACAAGTGGTTAGAATCAATGAGTTAAATCTATACATAAAACACAGATACATCTTGCCCTGACTGGTTTGGCTCAGCAGTTAGAGCGTCGGCCTATGGTCCAGGGAAACCCGGGTTCAGTTCCCACTAAGGGCACGTACCTCGGTTGCAGTTTGTCCCGGCCCTGGTTGGGTTGTGTGGGTGGCAACCACTCGATGTGTCCCTTTCACATCGATGTTTCTCTCACTCTCGCTCCTACTCTGTCTGAACCAAAAAATGGAAAAATGTCCTCGGGTGAGGATAAAAAATAAATAAATAAATAAATAAGTAAATAAATAAATAAAACACAGATACATCTTAAAAATCAATGTTGAGTGGAAAAAATATTTTGTAAAAAGATATGCAAAAAAATATGCAGAGTATGCCCTGGACGGTTTGGCGCAGTGGTTGGAGCGTCGGCCTGCGGTACTGAGAGACCCGGGTTCGGTTCCCGCTAAGGGCACGTACCTCGGTTGCAGTTTGTCCCTGGCCCTGGTTGGTCGTGTGGGTGGCAGCCACTTGATGTGTCCCTTCACGTCGATGTTTCTCTCTTTCTCTCTCTTCCTCTCTCTCCCTCCCGCTCTATCTGAACAAATAATGGAAAAATGTCCTCGGGTGAGGATAAAAAACAAACAAACAAACAAAAATATGCAGAGTATAACATCATTTATATCAACTATTACCTCCTGAATTTTTTTAAGTTAGTCTCCTCCCTCCCAACTCACCACTGTCCGAGGTGTAAACCTCATAGTCTCTCACCAGGGTAACCACTACAGTCTGCTAACAGGTCTCCCTGTTTCAAACTTTCTCTCCTTCCAACATGTCCTTCACTAAGCCACCAAAAATTTGTCTAAAACAGAAACCCTTTACAAGTTCTTTATGACCCATAGGACAAAGTTAAAACCTTTTAGGATCTGGCCCCCTACTGACATCCTCAGCCTCATCTCTCACCACTCTCTACATATACCTTACATACTCCCAATTGGATAACTGCCTTTTGGCACTCTGTCCTTATTTTGTATAAAATAACACTAAGAAACAATCGTCTCCTCTCCCACCATTCTTTTCTCTCTCTTAACACTAGGAGTCTTCAGGCCAGCACTGCAGGACTGATAAACTATATACCATTTTCTCCCAAAGTCATTTTTATTTTTATTTATTTATTTATTTATTTATTTATTTATTTATTTAATCCTCACTGGAAGATATTTTTCTATTTATCTTCAGATAGAGTGGGAGGGAGAGAAAGGGAGAGAGAGAAACATCGAAGTGAGTGGGACACATCGACTGGCTGCCTTCTGCATGACCCCAACCAGAGCCCGGGACGAACTGCAACCGAGGTATGTGCACTTGGACGGAATCGAACCCATGACTCATTGGTCCGCAGGCCAGCGCTCTAACCATTAAGACAAACTGGCCAGGGCCCAAAGTCATTTTTAATTAGAATATTTTTCAAACACCAAATTTTCAATATAAAATATAATAGGTGGCTAGCCCTGGCCCATGTGGTTCAGTTGTTTGGAGTGTTGTCCCATACAACAAAAGGTCGTAGGTTCGATTCCCAGCCAGGGCACATACCCCAGTTGCAATTTCTATTCCTGTGGTTTGATCCCTAGTCCAGGAGTGAACAGGAAGCAACTGATTGATGTTTTTTTCTCTTTCTCTCTCTAAAATAAAATAAAATCTAACAGGTGGTTTAAAACATTGCAAGATAGTTTGCTATGCCATGTGACTGAACCAAAAAACCAGCCCATACTTTTGATTCAAATGTAACTCAAACTCCAACCAAGAAATGTGGTTCTTGTTAACTGAACCATATGATTAATATTTGTATTTATACTTTGAGGGTAATTGTTTCTTTATGCTTCAGAATTAACTGTGTCTATATCATTCAAACAGCTAAAACACTGCAATGAATACATTTGTGGATAATTACATTCCATGTGTTAATGAGCTCAATTCACTTTCTCCTCCACAATTCTGAAGTTCCTTTCTGTTTCAGAAAGGCTGTGGAAGAAAACAAACGGAACATAATGGAAGGAACCAGTATGATTTACTGAAAAGTTTGGACTGATGTGACCATGTAAATGAATCTGGGATTTAGTGAATGGCAGTGTGTGCTGCCCAGAGACCTCCCTCAAGCACTATTATCAGTGAGGGGCAAGAGCAAAGCACTGAGTTAGGCAATCAGACACCAGGTTTCTCATCCTGGCTCTGTTCTCTAGTTCTGATCTGCTTCAAATCCTGTCCATCAAGAAGTGGGCTACAAGTTCCATTTTTTTTTTTTTTTTTTTTTTTTTTTTTTTTTATCCTCACCCGAGGACATTTTTCCATTTTTTGTTCAGGTAGAGTGGGAGGGAGAGAGAGGAACAGAGAGAGAGAGAGAGAGAAACATCGATGTGAAAAGAACACATCGAGTGGCTGCCACCCGCACAACCAACCAGGGCCGGGGACAAACTGCAACCGAGGTACATGCCCTTAGCGGGAACCGAACCCGGGTCTCTCTGGACCACAGACGGACGCTCTAACCGCTGAGCCAAACCGGCCAGGGCTACAAGTTCCATTTTTTAAAAAAATAATTAATATAAAGTATTGCGACTTTGGACAAATTATTACTTCTTTCTGAACCTTAAATTTGTTATCTATAAAACAGGCATAGTATTTTCAAGCCATGGATTATGGCAAAGCCTACATTGGGTATCACACGAAATATTCATGTTATAACACTTTGTAAAACTGTAAAACACTACAGGCATGTATGATCTTATTAATATTGTAATCAGAGATAGCCTTTTAATATCAACCAGCAGTCTTGGAAACTGGGAGCATGTTATAATAATCCTTCGTTTCCCAAATACAGACTTAAAGTCATAGATTAGCTTTATTTGTGAGATCCTGAGAATTTACACCGGAAAAAAACAGAATATCCCCCTCCATATGAACCACATATGTGTTCTGTAAATGACTTTCATCTCTACATTAGCAGGACCCAAATTAGGGCTTTCCTACACTGAAATCATTTAAGCAAACATCTGCTGGTTCCCAGAAAGGTTTTTTTCTTCCACAGGTGGCCTTTGAATTTGTAGCCCAAAATCCATGCAAAGAAAACACCGCCTTTGAAACTGAAGCCCTTCAAACACAGGTAGCGTCCTTGAGAGCTTGGGTCTCCTCTTAGCTGGGGAGAAAGCGTGCTAAAAAGGAACTCAGTTCCGGGCCAGGAAGTGCTCGGATTTAATGACAGTGACAATGACTGCTTCATCACTGTCAGGGTGATACTGATTGAAAGGACACATTTTCCCTGTTATTAATATTCTTAATCAAAGCATAAAAGGAAGCATATGTTTTAGTTGAATCAAGGCCCATTTTCTGTTTTTTCAATTACTCATGTTTCCGGGCAGTGGAATAGGGGAGGCACAAAATGTAATCCCAAAGCTATGAATTCTGCCTTTAGCTTTACCCCAAGATTGCTTGAAAGACCTTGGGCAAATCGCCCAGGGCAGGTACTTGCGTTAGTGTCTGTACTGTGACAGAGTCAACACCCCCCACTCAGGCCAGTGAATACTCAGCAACCATTAGACCAGTCATCAAATGATTACGAGTCATCAAATGACTCTGGTGCTGCTGTCTGTCTGACTAGCATGCACAGACTATTTTCCCCTCCAAATGACAGGCCAGTTATTTCCTGACTTTGATCTGAAATTGCATTAAGCTATCCAAGAAAGTAGGCTAAGAAGTTAAGAGGGTCTTATTAATTTTTGTAACACAACAGGGAAATGGTGTTATGAACACCTCTAACTAAAAAGGAAAATAATAACAAAAGATGATACAAAGTCACAAAAGTAATCAAGGTGTCCTAATTCTGGGACTTCTAATGCTGGGGTGAAAGGCAGTGAGTGAGCAGAGGGGCCAAGAGAAAGTGGCATGTGATTGAAGTAGAAATCCGAGGGACATTAAGCCCCCTGGGCTGACCCTGTAATTGGTCTTATAAAAACAGGGAGGACAAAAACACAAGATCAGTGGTCTTCCTTTCCTGCCATTCTCAATCCGCAGTGATTTCTCTGGGAATGCTTTCTGCTAACCAGACAGCTCTACTGCACACAGTGGGCCAAAAAGCCTGCAGTGCCCAGCCATAAACAGATGGCATGCCCATCAAGGGTGGATAAAGCGGGCAATCTAAGGTATGGTGAGGTCCCCACAGAACAGGATTGCTGGTCCTCAGAAGATGGGTTTGGAATGATGATCTGGGCCTTTCTGACCTAAAAGCCATGTTTGACCCAAACTGGAGATCATAAGTTTATTTTCCCTGGTTAATAAAAAGGGAGGTTGGTTCAGTAAAAGTAAGGAATCACGTGCACAATGAGATTACAAAGAAAATGTATCCAGCTATATATACTTATTTGTACACATACACACTCACAAGATTATATAGTGAGACAATGATACTTGGCTCCCCCAGTTCCCTCTCACCTGCTGGGGGAAGTCTCTCTGAAGTCTGAAAAATCCCAAGAAACAGGTGACTGGAGTAACCCTGTGACACATGTTAATGCCGGAAAATGATTTTTTTCTTCTTTGAGCCTACCTTGGCCTGGACTGCGTAAGAAGCCAGGAGCACAGAAGCCTCCGGAGGGCAGTAGATCTTTTCATCTAAGATCTGCTTCTTTACCTAAAGGGACAACAAGTGAGACAAGACACCACGTGTGTGGAAGTGAGCTGTGCAGGCTGGTCATAGCAAATAGCTGCAGGGTGTTCTAATGAGGGCTTGCCAAACCAGCCTGTTAATGATTATCTGACAAAGGGTACAGTTTTTTTTTTATTACTGCAGACAAGTTGGGAGTTCAGGCACTGAGAAGTTATTGGTAAGATGGCCATGCATAAAAACCCCTTCTCTCTCCTGTGCACAATCAGATGCTGAAGAGGAAAAACAATCTTCATGGTTAAAACAAAGACTAACATCTGGGCTGTGACAGAGGAGAGCTGTGAACTTGAGAAGTGTCAGGAGCAGCTCTGATGGTGATTGCAGCCTCAACCCCTGCTGAGCACACGCAGCACTAGAGGAAATGGGGTCTACTTTTAAGTCTTAACACAAGATAAAAGGCAGCAAGCAAGGCCACTGAGTTATGACTGCAGGGGAAAAAACCACCACTTTCAATATGCCTGCTCTAAGTAAAAAGGAAGCAATAAAGTGTGATCGATTCAACTTTTAAGTACACGTGAGGTCCAGGAAACATAATTCTTAAGCCACAATGCTGAATTAACATATCTCCCTGCATTTAATTTCTTAGAATGGTGCACTGAGTGATATTCCAGACACAAAGGCAAGAGAGCCACATGAAGTGGGGGCACACTGAAATAAACATAACAGGAAAGCCAACTCTCTTTTCGCAGATGTCAACAGTCACCAGATTCATAAAAGTAGTAAATTTTGCCTTGCTCAGCCACGAAGCTGTTCCAACATTTCAGTGTGAGGAAAAATTAAGCCAAAGTCGCATGAGGGATGGGCACTGCTTCCAAGTGCTCACAAGAAAGCCATCTCTATAACACCAGGACATTCTGGGGCCTAGGAGATCATTATGTGGTTTCTTTCAAAGCAGTGTGACTTTCTAATCCTTTGGTTTCTTTTCAAAGAGGAAAAAAGCCACACTACAGAAAAACTGAAAGCGCTTCCCTTTGAGCAGAAAATGTTGGGGGAGTGAGTGTGTGTGTGTGTGTGTGTGTGTGTGTTTATACACACACACTTCTTTTTTTAAAAAAATGTTTTTTCCTTCATTGATTTTAGAGAGAGAGGAAGTGAGAGGAAGAGAGATAGAGACATTGATGAGAGAGAACATCGACTGGCAACCTCCTGCATGCCCCCCACTGGGGATCAGGCCCACAACCTGGGCATGTGCCCTGACCGGGAATCCAGCTGGTGACCTATTGGTGCATGGGTCGACCTCATCAACTGAACCACACCTGCAGGGGGGAGGGGGAGGGGCAGACTATTCTTTATAAGACCCTCTTTCGGCTTCCTTTGCAATAACTATTGAGTATTTTCAATTTAGTGAAAAGAAAACAGGATCTATCTTCAAAGAGGTTTCAAATTAGGTAGCTCCTTGTACCCATTCTTTCACCATCACACTTTTGCAATTTCATCTGACACCAATTCTCATCTCTCAAATCGAGTTCTATTCTAAAGACATTTTCCATGACAGACAAAAGGACTGACTTCCCAGAAGTGGAACATTCTCACAATGTGAAGCTTTTCTGGTCAGCTCCTAGGGGTTCATCCAGGCTGCCTCTGCAAACATGCCTGAGTTTTCCTGATATTAGGGGGATAGCATAGACCACTGTACCTGCAAGAAGAATAAATGTTGTGTGATCTCTTGAACTAGCTCCTCCTCGGCGTTCTCAGGATAAAATTTGGCCAGAAAGTGAAAGGTGACTGGCTCTTCCTTTGAAACATCATGATCCAGCACCTGCAGAATTACAGAGCAAAAGACAAACAAGCTATGTTGGCACTGCTTCCCCCCATGCTATTATCAAAGAACCTTTCACAGGAAGTGTATAAATATTTTCTTCCCTCTAAATTCATCACATCTCCCAAAGGTTGTGATTCTTCAGTTTGAAGCACTCACAAAGCCCTCTATAACAAGAGGAAATACTCACTTCAAATGGCATTTTTGAACCAAGCTAATTAATATCCCCAAAGGGTGAGTGCCGCTAAGATTAAGGCACAACTTTCTCAAGGCCACAGAGATAGTTAAAAATTACAAATGTAGTATTACTCAAAGGTCTTGGGCACTACCCTGAATGGTAGGCTGAACGTTTCTTAATTTTTTGAAGTAGTGGAATATTTCTTTATTCTCTTTTCTTGCTGCCAACCCCCAACATTTAGGTCCATATTGGAATAGAGCTTAAGATGATGAACTAAATCTTTGTGAAATCAGCTAAACACTAACTAAGCAACAGAAGTAAAACGTGTCCATCGTGACAACTCTTTGTTTCAAGGAACCTCTAGAGATGCCCCACAAAATATGAGCACAATCAGTAAACCACACTGCCTTTAATCTTCTAACAATTTCATCCACCCACTGAAAAGCTTGAACCATCTGCTCTCCAGAATGAATTTCATTTCAGGCCATAAACATGCCATGTGACAGGCTCCAAGTCTCCATTAACATGTGTCATAATTTATTTCTTTTGAGCAGCAGGTATCGTGGCTCCTGATGCCCTCAATCTAATATCCATTTGGCCATGGTATATGATTTAAAATTTACTTTGCTGAGAATCACAAAAAGATACAAAAAGTTTTGCTGCCTTTGATAGATAACTCTCCACGCTCCTGACCAAATTCCAATTGGTGCTACCCAAGAGATTCAAAACAAACCTGATCTAGGACAATCTTGCTGACATTGGCACATAGAGGGCAGTTTGAGGTTCATGATCATTGGGAATTACCATATGAAATTTATAACTAGCAGAGATTCTAACGTGTGTACATATGTAAATAATTTGAACACTTGAGTTTAGAGTCATACTGGTAAAAGACAGGATGCTTTTATTGTTTATCATGCCATGTAATAGATAATAAATCAGCCCAGCCAATGTGGCTCAGTGGCTGAGCATTGACCCGAGCATCAAGAGATCGCAGGTTCAATTCCCACTCAGGGCACATGCCAAGGTTGGGGGTCCGATCCCCAGTGAGGGACATGCAGGAGGTGGCCAATTGGTGTTCTTTCTCATCGATGTTTCTATGTCTCTCTCTCTCTCCCTCTCCCTTCCTCTCTCTAAAAATCAATTAAAAAAAAGAAAAAAAATCTTATAAAAAATAAGATAATAAATCAGGCGGGCAATTGCAGGGGATTCGATTTGGGGTAAGAATTAGACACTGACTTACTTTGAGATTCAGGTATCTTTTAGGAGTTACTGACAAAACATATGGTCCTGTTCTCAACCATCTTCACGGTTGGGTAGGCAGGTAAGTAGATAAGTACGTCTTTGTGTGCACATATGAACCCACACAGAGGGCGGTTTCCCTAGGCAATATTCATTGCCAAATCAGAACTGCCGGGAGCCCACTTCAGGCCTCAGAAACTCCAGAAAATCATGAGGACTAAATGGACAGTCTTCCTCCACCACAGGGATGAAGGCACTCTTTACTCCTTGGATCACATTAATGATTAAACTGAGTTGGGCCACGGCATTTCTCAAAAAGACTTAAATTTTCATAAAGCACGTGAGCCCCAAGAAAATCTTTCAAAGACATATATTATAAATATATGTAATTTTTATTCATAAAGCCTGACTAGTGGCTCAATAAATTGAACAGCATAAAGCCAGAAGCTGTCAGCCTGGTGACAATGAGTAAAGAAACCAGGGATTGCAACAGTTTAATCGTGGTTGGTTCTGCTTGCCTAGGAGAGCCTGTGAGGAGCAGAAAGCCCCTATCTCTACCCTGTATCCATCAAGCCCCATGATGAACAAATAAGCTGGGCACACATTCAGGGAAGAACCAGAGCACACACCAGCCCCTCTGGTTTCATCCAGTTCTAGCCCAACCTTCTTGTCCATTTTGAGCCAGGCCACGGTGTCCTTGATTGTGTACTGCAGTCCAAAGAACCAGGTTTCTCGAAGCCCCAGGGTCCGGCACACCAAATCAAATAGGTCCTTCCCTTTCCATTTCATCTGCAATGTAATGAACCAAGAGGGAAAAACATTGTGAACAAAAGTCACAATCTGCTCACATAAAACCCTTGTCTCTACACTCTCTATTCTCAGATTCCACAATGTGGAGATGACACTAAGATGGCTGATGAGCACAGAATTCCTAAATAATTGTAAAGCTTCCTACACAAAACAATGAGTGGGGAAATACCAATTAGAGCTTAATGGCTTAATCACTGCAAAGCATACACAATACCTCCCTTGGACAGTTCCTTACAGACCTTAATATCCCCAAAGCTAATTTAGGAAAGCTGGTAAATAAGCATCTTCATTTAGGAGAGTCTAGCTTCTTGAGTTAACCCACGGAGGTGGCTAGCTTCCAGGGACATTAATTTCCTTGAGATTTTGTCACTGATTTTTTTTTTTTTTTTAATCACGAACCTGCCCTATGATAGAAGGCTAGTGTTTGTTTAATTTCAAGGATGATTTTACCAGAATTTTTATTTTTTAAGCAACATAGGAAAAGAAGTTGTAACCAAAGTCATAAATCGAGGAGAGAAAAAATATTAGAGACCACTCAGTCCAATCACAGGTCTCTCTTATCACAATGTATAACTGATGCCAAAGGAGCAGCAACATGCCCACAGTTACACGGAGCAACTCTTAGTGTCTGAACCAGGGGATGAACAGACACCAATACACTGCAGTGCACTTATTCTATAGCCTCACTTTCAAAAGGACCTGAAGCAATGGCTGCTAAACCCTTTCTTCAGCTATTCTAATCTTGTAGCTAGAAAAGCAAGTTCAATATCTTAATAGGGAAAGAAAATGCCCAGCAGTTTAGCAAATGTTGCCACCTTGTGGCTTTCAAGTTAAATCACCAAGATGATCCCATGCTACCTGTTAAGTGCTGTTCGACCCCTACCCACCAGGCCCCCCAAGTACCAGGTAGACATTCAAATGTGCACCGATACAGTTACGAGCATATGAGACACATCAGTGTCAGTGGTCACAGTAAGAATAATCTTGGGTTCAAATACAATGTCTCCAGACACCAGAAGAACAAGACCACTTTACTGCAGATACATCTGTCCTGCCCTCATTAGAAATCTTCACCCACTTCCTGGCACACTGAAGGTGCAAAATGAAAAGGAATGAGGAAAAAAATAGGGTTTAGAGACTTGGTATAAAAACAAAAAGGAAAAAATTAGGCTTCTAGTATCTGCTTGCCTTTTGCTAAAATCTGATTCTACAGAGGATTTTTCAAGTAGGTCTTCTAGTTTTAATATATGTGAATGAACAGTGCGTTCTCTATGCAGTCCTCAACAGGAAAGCCCATCCCTCTTCCACGCTTGTGGTCAAAGTCAAAGAGCAAAGGAGCAACCTAGATGGAAAGACACCAAAACTGCAGCCCTGGCCGGTTTGGCTCAGCGAAACCAGAGCGTCAGCCTGCGGACCAGAGAGTCCCAGGTTCGGTTCCCACTAGGGGCACATACCAAAAAAATAAAACAAACAAAAAACTGCAGCAAACAAGCGGCTGAGATATGTAATGGCTTTTGTCCTTCATTGGGGCGGTGTCTCCTATAGGTCCTTCTAGCTCTGCCCCTGTCCCCTCTGTGACTTTAGTGAGGCCACTGGAACACTATAAAGGTTGAAGTCTTTAGAAATTATTTTGCATAGAATAAAAGACAAATTTTATTTTAAAAAGATGATCTCCTTCCCCTTTTGTAAGGTTTAATAATGTTTGTTGGCACACCCACTTCCCAGTCTGACAACAGGACAAAAGGTTTTTAATTCATGGTAGGTTTTAATTCCTACAGGCAGACTTTACCGAAGAAATGTTATTTTAGAAAACTAGAAGCTTCAGGATACTGATTACTCTTTTGTCTCTATTTTAAGCCAGTATACAGTATATAAATTATAAACGACTACCTTGCTACAAGACAATGTAACACTAAAGAACAGACATTAACTTGGAGAAGTAAACACCCAAGGGCCAAGAAGATCAAGGTAATTCCAAATCCTCCGTAACTCACAGCCATGGCCAGGCCCGGATCTGGCACAAAGGGGCTGTCTGCAAATGGGATGTGCGGGGCATCTAAAGGAAGGCTGCAAAGAGAATGAGTGAATTTCCTGATTTGGGAGTTTAAATTCTCAAACATAATATAGTATTAATGCAATTTTCCTGTATTCCTTTCCACTTTGTTTTTTAAATGCAAAACTATTTTTGTTGAATGCAGAAACAATGTCTTTGTTCCCATGGAGCTTGCAATAAAGTGAGGAGAAGGGAAAAAATTCTCACACTGATTCAAAATGCCCTACTTAGCCCTGGCCAGTTAGGCTCAGCGGTTAGAGCGTCAGCCTGCGGTCCAGAGAGACCCGGGTTCGGTTCCTACTAAGGGCATGTACCTCAGTTGCAGTTTGTCCCTGGCCCTGGTTGGTCATGTGGGTGGCAGCCACTCGATGTGTCCCTTTCACGTCGATGTTTCTTTTTTTTTTATCCTCACCTGAGGACATTTTTCCATTTTTTGTTCAGGTAGAGTGGGAGGGAGAGAGAGGAACAGAGAGAGAGAAACATCGACATGAAAGGGACACCTCGAGTGGCTGCCACTCGCACAACCCAACCAGTGCCAGGGACAAACTGCAACAGAGGTATGCGCCCTTAGCGGGAACCGAATCCGGATCTCTCTGGACCACAGGCCGACGCTCTAACCACTGAGCCAAACCGGCCAGGGCTCACGTTGATGTTGATCTCTCTCTCTCTCTCTCTCTCCCCCCCCCCTCCCTCCCTCTTCCCTCCCTCCCTCCCTCCCTCCCTCTCTCTCTCCCACTCCATCTGAACAAAAAAATGGAAAAATGTCCTTGAGTGAGGATAAAAAAAAAAAGCCCTACTTAGATTTTTAACTTTGACTTTAAGACTTGTAGAAAGTCAGAGTTGGAAATAAGTCTACCTACTGGGTCTACCTACTATAGATCCATCTTCTTTTTGTATAAATAAGGAAACTGAGTAACAGATTCTTTGGCAGCCTCCTAAAGCAGACACTGACCTTTTCCACAGTGATTGGGTAGGTAACCCCCAGTTCCTCAAACACATTTTTTCCTTTCCTGTGGGGTTCCTCTACACTAGAAGTCCCTAGCCACCTTTTCCAGTAAGTAACCAGTATCCCAACACTCGTCTCCCACTCTAGAACAAAACCCATTCTCAGAAAAGCCTGATATTTCTCCTTTACAGATCAATGTGAACTAATGCCTCTGCTACCTCTCATTTATTCTTTCAACAAGCATTACAGAGCACATCCTATGTGCTGATCAACAAATATTTGGTAAACACCCAACGTGTCCAAGCAAAAGCTAAAGTAACAGGGGAACTGAACCCGGGTCTCTCTGGACCACAGGCCGACGCTCTAACCGCTGAGCCAAACCGGCCAGGGCCTAAAGGCAATTTTCTATAAACAAACTGCATCTCTCATGTAACCACAGAACACAGAAAGTTATCTGAATGACTGTTTTCTCCCACAAGGATAGATTATAATTGGTACCATTCTAGGGATGCAGGAAAGAAGTCAAATCATTATATAAGATGGATACTTCAGGACATTAGGACTTAATTCTTTCCAGGAACCAGTCTAAAGAGCATAGATAGAGGATGGTTATCTAACATTAATAGAAATCTCTATTCTGTCACTCTGCAACCTTGGGCAAGTTATTGAACTTTCTTTTTTTAATCCTCACCTGAGGATACTTTTTTACATTTATCTTCAGACAGAGTGGGCGGGAGAGAGAGAGAGAAAGAAACATCGATGTGAGAGAGACACATCGATTGGTTGCCACCCGCAAGACCCCATCCGGGGCCAGGGACGAACTGTAACCAAGATACATGGCGTTGGCCGGAATCAAACCCAGGACTCTTTGGTCCAAAGGCTGATGCTCTAACCGCTGAGCCAAACCGGCCAGGGCTATTGAACTTTCTTATACTTCCCACTGGGAATAAACAGAACCTGTCTAGCAGATTGATCTAAGGATTAAGTGCCTTAATACAATTAAAAAGCCTAAGAGAGTGCCCTGCCCATAGTAAATACTCAATAAAGGGTAGTTATTATTCATTCTAACCCTGCCTCCACTCCTTATATTCTCAAGTGGCACTGTTTAAGTCTCCCAGTCCTATTTCACTCCATGGATGATGGATGACAGATCAGAAAGGGCACCATCAATTCTCATTGAGCTAACCATGCTATCACTCATTTGACAAACAATTATTGAGCACCCACTACGTTCTAGTCATTGTGCTTGGCACAATAGATAAATGATGAATTCAGGACAAGACACTGTCCCTATTCATGTCTGACAGAGAAGACAGGTAAATGGATAATGAAAATGCAACCTGGTAAATGCTAACAGAACGGAGTGCTATGGGAACACAACTCAGGCTTGGGGGGTGAGGGATTTCAGTGGGGAGATGCTGTCTGAGCTGGGTCTTGAAAACCAAGTGGTACTTGGTCCTCTGGTAAAGGGACTAAGAAAGGGAGGTCAGGGCAGCTGGAGGGGACAGCATGTCTGCCACTTGGGTCCAAGCTGTTGCAAAGTGAAGGAATGTTCTTTGCACTTTTCTAGTATCTGACAAGCAGTGTGATTATCCTATCTGCAGTACTGAATGTTCAATGCAGTCCTGAATATGCAGCCTCACCCTGATGCATGTGACAGCTCTCCAGCTGACTAGGAGCCATGAGGTTCAGTCACTGGTTCTGAGCAGCCATGCATCCCATAACAATACCTGCCAGGTCTCTGAGAAGCCATGACCAGTGGGATGAGTCTCATGTTTATTTTTTATTAAAATATTTCCTTTTCTGACACCTGATTGCACAATAAGCCTTTTGGGCTTTGCATGTATACTACTTAAAGACCTTTGTCATTTTTCCTGTACAGATTGCCAAAAATAGAATAGCTCCTGATTTTGATTAAACGGGTTAAACCCCCAATGTGACCATCTCTTTCTAGTTGGTCAAAATGTTCAAACTGTTGCA